GGCCAATTAGCCTTCTACCATGTTTAGGAAAACTGTATGAAAAATGTTTCCTGATCTATCTAAGAAAGTGGATGACAGATAACAACATTTTACCTAGCGAACAGTCAGGATTTCGGTCAGCACATTCAACTACCACTAGATTTACACAATTTATTCAGGATGTTAGCACATCATTACAACAACACACCGCAGCACTCGTCTTATACATTGATTTTTCAAAAGCATTTGATCAGTTGTGGAGACGTGGCTTGATTTATAAATTGCACAAACTAAGATGTCCAAAAGAATTGCTACAATTCATCATTGAATATTTAGACAACAGAACATGCCAAATAGAAATAAACGGCCTGCTGTCTGCTGTATTTGATGTAGACAGAGGGGTACCACAAGGAAGTGTTTTAGGCCCCGTTTTGTTTCTACTATTCCATGCTGATATGCCGACAGAAATTCCATCAGCACAACATACCCATATGTATGCAGATGATGTAGCATTAGTTATTGATGCATCACCATGGTGGAAAAGTACAGAAGTGATAACAAATATTCAAAAAATTGCACAACAAACGTTAAATGAATTGCAAAAATATTCATCCAGATGGAAACAACCAATAAATTACATAAAAACAGAATATCAGTGGATTCACAAACGTATAACAATTTCATCAATTGTATTATTAATAGATCAACATGAACTTGCAAGAACAAACTTATTCAAATATCTTGGTTATTATATTGATCAAAAATTGTCATTCAATAAACATGTTCAAAATATATTGACGAAAATAAAAACCAACACACCAATGATAACATATGTAGCACAATCAAAAACGTCATCGTATCATGCCAGAACTTTAATCTTCAATGCTTATGTACTACCATATTTCCAGCAGCTCTATTCCATTTATCCGCTGTTACCTGATTCCACAAAAGACAAAATAGAAGCTAGAAACAGACAAGTATACAGGGTAATAAACCGATGGTACGATGCCACGAATGATGAAATCAAATTGACGCACAGGTTCGAAACAATTACTGACCGTGCAAAAAAAATTTTACGCAACTTCATAAACAAAGCACACACAGTTATTCCAGAACTATTTGAAAAATACACACAATCGGGATCAATGCAAATGTATTTACAAATGCACAATCAATCTCCCTTTATTCAATATCTCAACGTAGGAAGACAAAGTGCAACTGTGAAAAGATGGCTAGATCAAGAGGACAGATATCTTGACAAACTAATGTCATTTATTCAAGACTAAATTTTTCACGAGCTTCTTACGCTCTATAAATTCCTTTTCTTTATCGTAAAACACGTAGTAGGGGTTATAAGCCTAACACTACACTACTGTTCACAAATTGTTGACATTTTCTAATCTGTCTGATAAAGCAATAGAACAGTTATACATGTTCGATTTCCGACGTGAATTACAAGCACCTCACACTGGACGCCCAATGATGAACGACTTAAAGTTGAACATTGCTGATTGTTGAACCATTGGCCATAATTTTGTAAGTTGAGTCGACGAATTGACATACTCGGTGGCATTTGTGAAAGAATCGACGACGAGAACCTATTGACTTTTAATGAATAGAGGCGAGATACTCAATTGAATAAACTTTGCAGATTGGATAGAGCATTCGCATCAGGATTGTCAGATGATGAATTGGTTGTGATCATTTGAGTTGCGTTCGGAGAAGTTGAACAGGAAATCATAGCGCCTCGAGATCTCGAGTGAGGTCAATCGATCTAATTGTGGGACAAAGGATTTAAAACGATCAGTGAAAGGAAGTATTGTAGAAAGGATATGAATGTTGTAACAGTGATGATAAGACGAAGCCCATTTTTCGTTTGTATGAATGCCGTAATTAAGACGATGCACACGATTATACGACCAACGATCCTCAGCTTGAGGAAAAGTCGATTTCGACTGGGCTGGATAATGAACATCAAATTCTTTAAATGCATAAGGTAGGAGTGTAGAGATGAATGGGACTGTAGCTTTCCTCTGGATTCCAATCACATCGAATGAACCATTGGTGCTCATCAAGCCAAAATGGACTTCGAAATGAATCGACTAGTTCAATGACTTCTTGTTCTTCGTTATGACTGCAATGAGGGCCAGTGACCATTCTGAATTGAAAAAGTTTGAGCTTTGGTAAATGATTACGAATAATTTGTTCCCATTGCTGTCCATTCATATGCATGTCTATCATCTCGATTGTCAATTGACATAAATTGGGCATGTTTCGTAAGAAGTTTCTTATTGTATCAGGCTCTTGATAATGATAACAAACCTTCAATATGGTAATCGATGGAACAGCGCATGCTAGGTTTTCATTACCATACTGGTGATCGAAAGTCATAGAAAGATGTTGAAGACAAGGTGTGTGTCCGAACAGACGATCCATGTAATTCAACTGACATTTGACACCCGAGATGGGCAAACTCGAAGCTCATTGACACGAAAGTGTGAGAACTCGATTTTGAACTAAACAATTAAGTCAAAAGAAGAGTCGCGTCGCTTGTCACCGATGGCAAATGTTAATCGAACCGACAGCTCTCACTACAGCTTATGGACAATCGAAATGACTTGAGATTGTCAGTCTCTGGATCGAGCCAGACCAATGTATCCGAATCTCGAAACATTTGTCGTTCGAATGGAATCTTGCCCACAGCCATCTACACAACATCAGCACCATAGTTTGAGATTCTTTCTTCTTGTATGAAAATGAAAATGAGCTTGATCTCAAGCTTGAAGATATGAGAGAGGAAATCTCCATCCGGCATGCTAACCAAGGAAAACAGACATTTAATAACTCGTGCACAGATGTTCGAGCGAGTCTTTGACGTCAATCATCTTTAGAACAAAGTCAAAAGTCGACGAATATCAAGTATGGCCACTGGACCAGATGGACATTTTCTTATCAATCAGATCAAATGATTTCTAGAAAAGAAGAAATACATCGCGGTTGGCATTTGACGATCGTCAACACGCTTCGACTCAGATCCATCGATGGCCTATCAATACAGACCGAATCGTCTTGACACATAATCGAGGCTCATCAAGAAATTGTGACTCGAAAGTTCATCGAAAATCAGTTCGGTTGCCAACTTGAATGACTTTGGTCGACGTATGTTCAACTTTGGACTCGAACCAGAGTCGGAAAGAATGACAACTCAAACAGATATCACTTCATTTATGATATCTTCAAACCAGCAGATATTTAACTCGTTTCGGATATCCACAATAGCATATTTTCAGCAAATAGAAAGCCTCTCAGAGAAGGCCGGATCTCAACATTCTCTTTTTTTGCGCATCCAATTTCATATTTATCGAAGCTTGAAAGCGATCCATTTTCACCTGAAATTTCTTTACACGAGATCTATTCTTCGGATCGACTTTCGTCTCTCTCGGCTCAAATTCACTTAGATGGCGAAATCTTCGGCTGGCAATCGTTTCCCATTGTCGATCTTGTTCAACGTCAATTGAGTTATTTCACCGATGCGGACTATTTCGGTTTGACATTGAAACCATCTGTGAACACAAACAAACAACGACGTCGCATTGTTAACTTGTCCAAATTCAGTGTTTATCCACCACTTCTGATCATCTATGGGAATGATTCAATGACGAACAATGTTTTCGAAGAATTCATTCCTCGAAATCTCGATCAATTAGTCGAGCCCTACGCGCAATTCGAACAGCTCGTCAACAAAACGAACAAGTTTGTTCGATGAGAGAATTGTCCAATGATTTGTTTTTGTTTTGTTGTAGAATTGTGAATAACGTTCGATCAAAAAGTTTTCTGCATCGTCGTCGAGTGACACCGTTGAGTTCGATTTCTTCATCTCCGGGTCCGGCGACACTCGACGTTCTTGTCGATCATCAGAATGCGTCGATGTTTGTTCCTTCGCTCGACGCGTGTTCAGTGAAACTATTTGTCATTGATTTTGTCGATTTGGGTTTTACATCGTGGATAGTCGAGCCTCGTCGTTACGCAGCCAATTTCTGCGAGGGACAATGTCAAAGCCAAGTGAGTTCTCTCTCTCTTTCTCTTTCCGTTCGCTGATTCGTGTCTGAGATCAACAATTGAATGCTTAGTCGATGAGTAATCACGCTTTACTTCAATCTCTTCTTCAACGTTTGGGCGTGAGAAGTGACGTCGAATTGCCTCAACCATGTTGTACACCGGAACATTATGAATCGTTGTCTCTCTTCTACAACAGTTCGGATTACAATTATCTTATTCGTCGTGTTCACAATATGATCGTCGACAAGTGTCAATGTCGATGAAATTAGTCTCGTTTATTTCTGTTTGTGTCTAGGGAAAGAAAGTTCGAAATCAAATGTCAACATTCGACTCTTTAGAGAAAGAAAAACTCTCCGATACTTCTCTTCTCTTGTTCACAGATCACACTTCGCGACAAACAAGAAACTTATCAGCGACGAAAGAGAAATGGACAAGAAGCACTTTTGTCAATATTTCACTTCATTTGAAAACAACTCACTTCGAGACATTCATAGAAAAGGTTTCTCTTCATTAGGAGTCGACAGATTCAGACAAGTGACGGAAAATGTTTCGGATTCTTCAAATTTGATCATTGTTTGTTTGACGACGATTCTTCGACAGATTGAAGTTCGATTTCTGATCGAACTGGAATTCAAATCGACGAGTCTCAGAGATCAAGAACAACAACAAAAACGATTTCGAGATTAATTATCGAAGAATCAATTCGAAGATGAGATCCACATGTTGTGATGCGAAAACGTTTCATTAACCCTCCGCAATAGAAGGGCCCCCTGCTAAAATTTAGATTATAAATCCAATCTTGGTTTTGCGTTTGGAGTAAAATGTTGCATCGAGTAAATTCTTGAAAAAGTTAATAAAAGGTATAATGGGTGGCCCTAGTTCATTGGATTCTTGGATGAGAAGTCGGCGTGTATTTGAGCTGTTGGGTTTTCGCTGAGGTAAATGTGTGGATTTGATCGAATCAAATTGATGTTCAACCTTCGCAGAAAACGATCTCATCAATCGAATTCGTATTCAACATTTGAAATCACTTTTCCCGTTTCTCTCTCATCGTCAGTCGAGTCGTTGCCATTAAAGAGAGGCTTCGCGATCATTTCTCTTTTTGTCATTTGAAACAAAAAAATAGTCCATTGCCTAAAACCTCTAGAAAACAAAAGGGCTTTCGTGTACTTTTGACAACCGCAGAAAACTTCACGACGACGATCACTGAAACAAGGAGAGACTGTCGATCGAGACAGAATTAGTGTCAGAACTCCATTTTGGACTCAAAAATTGAGTCAAAAGAAGAGTCTTGTCGCCTGGCACCAGTGGCGAGACGATGAATGGCGCGTTGTCAAATTGCGATCAATGCTAAATGACAATCTGACTGACAATGATCATACTCGAGATTATCCGCCGCTCACGTCTCTGGATATCTATCCGAATCTCGAAACATTTTCTTGATGTTGGACATTCGAATGGAGTCTTGCAAACAGACACCTACACAACATCAGCAACATCATTTCGGATTCTTTCTTCTTCAATCAAATTGAAAATGAGCTTGATCTACTGAGGAGAAGAAAAAGCTTTTAAGGCAGCACGACGTGAGAGAGGAAATCTCCATCTGCCATGCTAAATGAGGAAAACATACATTTGCTATCTCGGACACAGATGGTTGAGCCTCTGACGTCAATCGACTTCAGGATAGTCAAATAAATAATAAAATAATAAAATAATAAAATACGTCAAATGTCAGGGAATATCAAGTGCAGGGTGGTCCAGAAATAACTTCACGAGAAAACATTTCAATATCTCCACTCGGTTTTAATCAAAGGGATCAATTTTGTTTTTCGTTGATACAGGTGAGTTGAAAGCTTTCTTTCATAAGAAAATAGTTTATCAATACTGTTTTGAACTATCACCGAAAAAGTAATTCGCCCATTTGATTGAAACCGAGTGGAGATATTTAAACTTTTTCTCGTGAAGTTATTTCTAGGCCACCTTGTATGACCACTGTGCCAGATTTACTTTGTTTTCTTCTTATCAATCAGATGAAATGATTTCTAGAAAAGAAGAATATGTTGTATTTGACATTGTGCGGTCGTCAACATCGTTCGACTCAGATCCTTAAGTTGATCTGGATCAGAAAGTCTTGTTTTCTTCCAGATCGAATCGTATTGACACAGACTCATCGACTCGAAAGTTCATCGAAAATCAGTTCGGTGGCAACTTGAATGACTTAGGCTAAACGTACCTTCAACTTTGACTCTTAACCAGCATCAGAAAAGAATTACAAACCAACAGATATTTGTCTCGTTTCGATTATCCGCAATGGGGTATTTTCAGTAAAATCGAAAATCTCAACATTCTCTTTCTCTCGCGCATCTTCTTTGATATTTATCGAAGCTTGAAAGTGATCCGTTTTCATCTGATATTATTCGAATTTTGAGAAAAATCAGCCGATTTTTGACGTACGATCGAATCCGAGGGAAAAGAGATTTTCATTCACTATAGAAGTTTGAACACTTTTCAAGTCCAAAACATCGTTTCGACTTATTTTGTCTCTAGCCGATTGAAAACGTTTGTGTGAGAGATCGGAGAAAATCTCTAACCGAAATGAGACTCGACGAATCATCGACGTCATTTGACGGAGTTCTACAACATAAAGGGAAATACGGGCACGGCTTTTCTTTTGTTAGAGAAACTTTCAGCGCAATCTCTAAAGGCTAAAAATGTGAAACACGACGGAGAGATAATTCAACAATATCTCGACATCTCGTGTTCTTCGTCATGTCTGTCACGCTTTCCAAGTTTCAATTTCTCGACTTCTTTTGTCCAAAGTCTCGATTTACAAAATGCTGTCGTTTGAAGCAAAACAAAAATCAATTCTGAAAAGTAGAACCTTACAATTCTCAGGTGTACGTCATCCTCCCACCAGACATGGAAGTGGGTCGGATGTTGATCTTCTTTTTTTCTTCCTCTTTGCCAACATTTCCTTTTGCGACTCTTATCTTCTGAAGCAACTGCTCGCTCAAATCGAATGATATCTCTCATACGGAGTCTTGTTGCATAGATCAAACGTTCGATGAATATCACGTTATTCATTCGCATTGCATTTGTCGTTGTCTGCATTTACGACAAATGTTCGGCTTCTTATCTAATGTACGAAACGAGTAGCGATGGGAATACTTTTGATTGTCTGCAATATTGGACCTTTCAAGCCTTTCAACACATTTATACGCTTCGACCGAATATCGATATTGCAATGATGCGCTTTTGTCGTCGATCAATAACAAAGTCGATTGAAAAGATGGTTATTTCCGCTGGACAAAATCGATTTCTGTGAGATATCGCTCGATGATCATCAGAATTTTTCTCTCAATGGTATAACACTCATCTCTATAGACGAATCGATAGTATTCTTGGGATATAACGATATCCCACTAAAATTGTGCGGGGTAGCGATATCCGCCAGAAACCGTACGATATCCGCACTTTCTGAAAAGTCGTTAACTGCTGGATGATGGAAGAATAAAATTTGTTACCGGGCAATAGTTTGTAATCTGGGCTGCCATTTCATACGCGGCTTCAATATTCCCCTTGAATATTTTATTTTTCACTCATACTCTTATTGGCAATGTGAAATAGTTCTAAAATTATTAATCTAGGAAACTATCTTCGCAGTAGAAGAGCTGCACTTTTCGAAGCAAACAACTTTAATTACAGTATATCTGTATGGGAACAGACATGTTTTAACGTTTTAAAGAAACATCTTTTTAAGTAATAATTGTAAAAATAAATGAAAAAAAGGTGTCCTGAAAAATGTGTACCCTTTAACATAATAAAAGAACAAAGATCTTCTATCGTGAAAGGGGATTCATATCTACAGTAGTTCCTCCAAATTTATTTTCTTCACAAGTTGTTCTTATGCATTGTCGTAGTAGTATTAACACTAGTGGAAAAAAACTGCAAATAAGTCTAATCAAATCATTTTAGGTGCCACTCAACATGCATATGCATGAGTTTCTTCTTTATAACAACTCATATACACCTTATTTCTTGAAGTTGCATGCTTAACATAGAATATTGGAGAATAGCGCATCATATTTGATGAGCCGTTATATATAGATTACAATCAGAGTAGAATATGGCAAGAGATTTTATTTTAAAAGTGTTTAATCAAAGTCAAGCAGAAAACAAATTATCAAAAAAATGAAGTTTTTACCTTCAATTCATTATCAAAGTTAAATTATTATATTCAAGACAACTACTCGTGTAGTTGTTATCGCTTTTTCAACCAAGTAAAAAAAGCAAAAGAATAATCAAAACCATGGAGTTGACGTAATTCGATGAAGTTTTATTGTACGGTGTCGTAAGTGGTGGTGCAGTTGTAGTTAAAACATTTAATGTACCACATTGTACAATAGTCATATCATCGAAAGCAACAGCTACTCGTGTCGGTCGTCGTTGAGTGATACGAAAATAGACTTCCTGAGCGCACGCATTAGGATAGAAAGACTTGGTGACTAATTGCCATCCAAAACTGTTATCTAATTCAATAGACCAAAGAGTTCCTGCATGACAACCACGGACAAAAACATTTATTTTTGTATTATTTTCATTAGGTTGAACATCCGTCGAATTAACAAAATACGCAAATCGAATGCACATATCTCTATTCGTTTCAATGAATGGTGTTTTAAATTGTCCATTTATCCTTGTCGGTAATGTTAGTTGAGAACGTGACCAGTAAAGAAACCAATCACCACTCCAACCTGTTGTTTGTCTTGGACCAAGATCTCGATCGCTGATAGTTGTCGGCGATCGTATCGTATAGTTAATAACAGATTGTGGAAGAAGATCTGAATAATCATCTCGTATACCACATGTTGAATCGATAAGAGAATCAAAATTACAAGAAAGTGCTAGATGTGAGGTAGTCGAAACGTATTCTTTAGGATATTCACATGAATGAATAGAAATTGAATCAATAGCGAATGAACTATTCACTTGTGAGTCAGCATCCATACGAAATAGAAGAGAATAATTGCCTAGTGGTAATGGAGCATATGCCCAAGACCTTTTTGAAACAACATATTTACAAGAAATTATTATTATTGAATGCATAGTCACTTACCATTGTTGATTTATGTAGGTATAATTTATTGGATTAATAGGCCAAATTTGTGCAACACTATTCTGATCTTCTTCATTTAAGGCTAATACCGTGAGTTTACTATCTTGAAAGGTAAGTCCAAATCTGTAGTATTGAAAACTCAGACAATATGTAAGATTAGACATTATAAAACGAAATATTTCTGTGTTTAAATATCCAGCTCCACCCGGCTGTAATGTATTTGAATTATTAAGCCATAGATAATGACCTAGAATGAATAAAAAAATTTGTTTTAGCAAAATCTTCAAATTTCAAGAAAACGTTTTTGTTCGGTACCTGTTTTATTTCCAATGGAATAATCAACTGCTGGCGCTTGACTTGTATAATTTTGTGCTTCTTCTGCTTGTATCACGGACCAACTATAAGAATAATTAGATAATGAAA